CACCAGACGGTCATAATTATAAGCCTGTGTCAGGCTATAAAAATTATATATTATTATCTAAACTATTCTCTACACTAATTTATATAATTAATATGTTTAAGCAAAAAACACAAAAAAGGAAAAAAATCAGCTTCTTTGACATCGGTACTGTAGAGAGGTCAGAAATTCATACTGCTAGACTTAGAGCACTATTTGTCCAGAGGCCATATTTGAGGTACATAATTCAGTTATCCACATTGCTACATCTATATGTTTGTTGTAACAGGTAATAAATGTAAACAATGCCACCTGATTTGATAAGTAAACAATTTGTCAATCTTTTGGAAGAGTAAGTTAAATCATCTACTTTTTACAAAATTTTCTCCAAAAAAAAGGTGGGGAACAATAAAAATATGTGAGGTTCTTCTGTAGGTTTTACAGTTATATACTTGGTTCTTCAGAACAATACTATCTCAACGAAGGCAAAAAGTACTCTTGTTTCTAGAATAAACTTTCTAGTTTAGATACCGAATATTCCAGGGAGTCTGTTATGAAAGCAGAGAAAAAACTTGACCTAGAAAAAACTACTCTAGTTACATTCGCTCCTCGGTGTTTCACATTTTTCAAGCTTTGTTGACAGCAACCTGTTCAGAGATAAGTTCAGTTTCCAGAATATCCTTTTGGTTTAGATACCAAATATCTTGAGGAGTCCACCAGTTAGCAAAAGCTTGACCCCAAGAAAAACTGCCCAAGTTACGCCCACTCCTCAGTGTTTCATGTCTACAGGCTTTGTTTATAACTGTTTATTCAAAGACAGAACCAAAATAGTATTTATCTTGAAACTTCCTATAGCATTTTTCTGTAGTTTAATTTTTTGTTGTATTGTCCAGAGGATCATTAGAAAGAGTTGATATGAAATTGCTATTTCAAATTATTATTAACCTGACCAGATTTTATCTTTTTTTTACTAATTAATATCAAACTATCAATTACTAAAAATTTTTTCAAGATTTAAAACTTAAATTAATTTATTTACAAACTTTTTTTCATATTAACCAAATCTAAGATACAGATATAAAATACATCTATATTACAAATTTACAACATCTCTAAATTTTATATTAATATCTCTATAAATATACTCATACAAAAATTTTTAACAACTTAGGGACGTGACAAAAATCTGGTGATTTTTTAGGAGGGAGGGGTAAAAAAAGTTAAAATTATATATAAGAACTTGATTTTTAGAGGGGAGAAGGGGTAAGCCTCTAATAAAAAATAATCAGGTGATAAATAATATTGCACTTACTGTATTTTTTTTTCTTTATTTTCAACAGAATTTAATGTAGTTTCAAAAATTTTTCAAACATAACAAAAAATAATTTAATACTATTAATAAACAAAAAGCCAACAATTATATCAAATCCCAAATAGTAACAACAATAAACAATAAATACAGAAAACTTGTTCCTAAAGAAATCTACTCTTCTACTATTTTACTACAATAAAACTATATTATACAATATATATATATAACAATATTAGTATTTTTCGCCGATGGTAGTATCGCCAGTCACGTGATATGCCGTAGTATATATAGTCAACTAATGGCCAATCAAATTACGATTAGTAGTTAAATGATCTTCTCTTAATAAAGGTAAATGAACTTATTCTTTATCGTTATATCTGTTATATAATTACAAATACTTGAACTAGTACCAATTCAATATTAATGACTTTATCTAATAAACATAACTTGAAACACCGTTTTTTTAGTGAGCGAAGTTACTAAGTTAAGGTGTGTTCCAAGAAGTCTTTAGAACAGTATCCCTACCACCATCATCATTCGGGCGTAACTTCTTTTAATAAATTTACAACATAAAGTATCTTATTGGGAGTCCTGGGTTCGGCATTTTCCCACCAACACTACCACCAACGTATAAGAATTTCGTATCCGGACAAGTAGAATCCTGATATTAATAACTTTATTCAACAAACGCAACTTAGCATTGTTTAATAATATGCTTTGGTTTAACATCTCTACCACCAAGAATGTGGCTTTGCAATTCTCAAATAAAAAGAATGATGAGTGAGTAAATATGATTTTATCCGTTTTATGTAAGCGACTATTTATTGGCAAGAAAACATATACTTACTTTTACCTTTCAAAAGAGCGAAATGATACCGATGAAGCAAATGAAATCTTATCTGTTTCACCAACTTATGTTAATCTCAGTGATTTTATCCATGAATCATGTATTACATTGAACTCTGAAAATACCAGGTCTGGAAGTACTAGTGATTCTGAAGACCCAGGAATTATTGTACAAACAATCGCTTTAGGTGCTAGTTTTCCTTCTTGGGATTCTTTTGAAACAAGTCTTGAATGTTATAGAAAAGAAAATGGGTTTAAACCAATAAAAGAGCGGCGAGATATGGATACTAAAACTGGAAATATCGTTCATTGGTGTTTCGAATGTGAATTTTCAGGAGAGTACAAACCAAAACATACTGCTGATTTTAGTCAGGCCCGACAAACCTTTTCAAAAAAAACCCAATGCTCTTGGCGATGTAATGCTAGTTTCAGAAAAACCGAAGGAAAAGTTTATATTAATAAACTTGTTGAGAAACACAATCATAACCTCATACCCCATCATGAGGAATTTGCACCATCATTACGACAATTACCGCAGGATGTTTTAAATGAAATTAAATTCATGACACAAAAATGTGAATATGGTGCCCGACAACAAAGACGTTATTTAACTAACAAGTTTCCTGATATTAATATTTATTCAAAGGATCTTTATAATGCAATAAGGCGCTACAAGACCCCGCTTCTAATATTAACCAAGATGCCTCTTTAATGATTGAGTATTTAATTTCGAAACAGCGTGAAGATCCTAATTGGAAGATTAATATATATTTTGAAGGTGTTGATACTTCTTTGGCTCACCTCTTTTGGCAAACTCCAAGTCAGTCTAGACTTTATGAGCAGTTTCATAATGTAATTGTAAACGATAATACTTGTAAAACCAACATTTATCGAATATTACTAAACATTTTTGTGAGAGTGGATTCGCAAAACAGAACAAAAATGCTTGCACAAGCACTTGTTCAAGATGAAACACAAACAACCTTTAAATGGATTTTACAATCATTGAAACATTTGAACAATAATATTGTCCCGCAAACTATTTGTACTGATGGTGATCCCGGAATAGCAGCTGCTATTCATAATATATTTCCTCGTACCAAACATTGGCATTGTTTATTCCATATAAGTCAGAATCTTGCCAAACATCTTACACGAAAACTTGACCAAGATCGATACAAAATATTTCTTAATCAATTTTATTGGACATGTAATAGTAAATATGAAGAACTCTTCAAAAGTAGATGGCAACAGTTAGTACATGATTTTTTTGAACATGAAAAGTACTTGCGCCGTTTATACAGATCATGAAATGCATGGGCTTTAGTTTATATATATTCAACCTTTTGTGCGGGTATAAACAGTACACAACATGTTGAGAGCATTAATAGTGTATTAAAAGCCGAAATTGGTACACGAACAACACTTATAAAATTAGTAGAAAGCATCGAAAAGTAGATTGAAAATGAAGCAAAATGCCAACGTAAATCTGAATATCGAAATCAGCTTCCATCTGTTGGTTTACCCACAATTCACAGTACATTTTTTTTAAAAATTGATGAAGCTTTGAAGAAGTATCTAATCCTTGAAGCACTCACCTGTCAAAGACTTTAAATAAGTCAATCTTGTCTTTACCACCCGTATCAAATTAATCCTTTAACTCTTAGCCAAGTAAGTATTAAAGTTCGAAACTGTGTTTATTTTTGTATTCTACTTAAACTTGCTAATTTTTTTTTATATATAGAATGATTATTCAGAATATACATCTGGATTTATCGAAGATGATTATCAAGAGAATCACGTTTTACTTTCATCAATGCTAAAATTAATTAGCAATCAAACCATCCTTGAGATTTGGCATATTAGATTATTTAGTGCTCCAGCATCTCATAATGGACAATATATTATAGTTTTAGATGATGGTACTCATTTATGTTCTTGTATGCTACTTATTGCTAAAGGCTTTTTTTGCCGGCATTTTTTTTCCATTCTGGTTGTTTTCCCGCTTATTAAATTTAAAGTGCAGATGATATCTCAACAATGGTTCTTGAATCCTATATGTGCACCTGAACAATCAATTACTATTCAATTCACACATAATATAACAAGTGTGCAAGAGATACAAAATGATGAGTTGAATAGTAGCTTTGATATCATTGAAGAACTTCGAGGACCAGATTGTTTTAATTACGAAATTCAACAATATACTTCTAAAAAAGCTGAATACTGCTGAGGTATTGGAATCGCCAAAAAAGAAGTTCAAACTGCTCTTGATACTGGTATAATGGATGAATTTATTGGTATATTGCATAACTTTATTGAATCAAAGTTAATTCAAGCTAATAATTTATAGGAATTGGACAATATTGGACTAGTAACGAATCCTCACATTATTTCACATCATGGTCAACCGAAGAAACAATTACAAGACTTTTTAAATAATGTTAATCAATCAAATTCTTAGACAACTTACAAAAAAATACTTCACGAATCAGATATCACAAATAAATCTTCGCGAAAATGTTCTTACTATAATAGTATTGGACATTACGCTAAAATGTGCAAATTAAATTCTAAAAATAAGCTTAGGTGGATATTAATATCAAAGCTAGCTATCAAGATTTAGAGTATTAGGTTATTGATTTTATGTAATAGCGAAGTTTCCAATTAATATTTTAGTTAGTAGTTCAAGCGATTGCATCAAAATAGTTATAAGATTATTGTATAACAATGTATTTATTGTAGCTCAAGCTTCCAAAAACATTTTCTAAAAGGAGCATAATCACCAATAAAGTTAGCCAGCATTAATTATAATGCTAGCTAACTTTGTTGGTGATTATGTCCTTTCAGAAAAATTGCTTTTGAAGATTATGCCAGAGCCTCGCACTTAGGATTAGAGTATTTAACTCATATAGAGCTTTCACCTCATATTTTAGTAAAAGGGAGCGAAGCAAAAGCAACAGCCGTAGCATAGCGAACATGAGATTTTCACTGAATTTTTTTTAGTTTTATGTATGTAGTAGGTAAGATGAATTTTGTATTAATTTGAAATTAAGATTTGTTAAGATACTGATTCGATTTTATGTACAATTATGTTTCCAAATTATACATATCGGAGCCTCATACTTAGGGTTAAGGTATTTGATTAATATGAAGCATCCACCTCATGTTTTAATAAAAGAGAAGCGAAGCAGAGGCGACAGCCATGGCGTAGCAGATAGTAAATTTTTCTAGTCTTATGTATATAGTAAGTAAGATTGATTTTATATTGATTTGAATATGATTTGTTAAGATACTGATTTGATTTTTGTACAATTACGTTCTATTCAAATCATACCTGAAAGAATCGAAGGTTTAAAATAACAATCTATACATTGACAGTATTTTACCAACTGCATAGGATAATTCACCACTTATTGAATAGATTTAAGTGAACTTAAGATGACTTATTCGGCGAAAGGCAAAAATAAGAAATCTCAATATAAGTTTAGTTACATTCTTACTCAATATACACATGGGTTACATATAGTATTTTTTTTTAGTATCATCAAATTTGTAGCAAACTCACCTGATAAACATTTTAATTAAAGTGCAAAGAGTTATTTAATAAATTGGTTGTATTAGTGATTTTATGTAAGCTTAAAGTTGGTTAGATTAGATCACTAATATTAGTTTATAGCTATGGGGCTAGCAATACTCGTCAAAAAAAAATTTCGCAAATCACATGATCTTATATGTACGTACAGTCAGACCTCCCTAAGTGCACCCCCTCAGGACCATAGAAAAAAAAATGAAAAGAGTGCACTTAAAGAGGGTGTGCATTTATAGAGAGCAAATTATATAGGGTTCTTATAAGCTGGGATCAGACTATACCGTGTATTTAGAGAGAATTTACTTAATCTGTGCATTTAGAGAAGTATACTTAGGGAGGTCTGACTGTACATAAAGTCCTTGTTTAGGGTTAGGGTTAGGGTTAGGGTTAGGGTAAACTAATTAAATATTTTTTTCTTTAGCTTTAGTAAAGAAAATGCTGCAGCGGAGGCAGCAGCTGTAGCGAAAGCATCAACTATCCTTTGCGAAGCAAAGGATAACAGAAAGTTCATTCTCGAATAGAAGTTTTTTTTAACTTGTGTTTAAACTGCGCATATAAATATAATATAACTAATATAATATTGGAAAATCTTATGATCATCAATTCACGTGATTTGCAAATTTTTTAGACTAGTAGCTACATATATCACGTGACTGGCGATATTGCCACTGGTGATAAATAGCAAAATTCTATATATAAACCTTATTAAATGCATAATTTTTATACCAAATACTATACACAATCTCTGCAATTTAACTAACTTACTTTTTTAAACTTTTTTTTCAAACATCACCTGCTTTTAAATATATTTACCCAACTATTGATAATACTATCTTTTATCCAATCAACCTTATATCGCTATTTTTTTTATTGTCTTTTTTTTAAAAATCTCTATAAACTTGTTAATCAAGCAGAACAACAATTTATTATATTTAATCAAAAACTTATCAAATCTAATAAGTCAAACTTTCTAAATCAAATTCTACAACTTAAATTTCTAAATAGATTTCTTTTTTCTTTTATAGTTATTTTAAAGTATATTTAAAAATAACTGCAATTAATAATCAAATTATAGATCTTAATCTTAAGAAAACACTTAACAAATTCTCCTTAATATCTACAAATCTACAAACTTTAGTCAGAATTATTGTCTACTACAATATTACTCAAATCTTCAAACCAACTATTGCAAATTTTAAAAAAAATTTAAAAAAATCATATTTTAATCAAGCAAACCAATATATAAATAAAAAGTTTAAGATCTCTATTTTTATAATATTATATACAAACTTTATTACAAAAAATTTTAATACTTAATAACAATAACAATAACAACAATAGCCGATTAGCTCTACAATAAAATTTAAAACTTCTAAAATCAACAAATAATAACAGCAATATTCTAATAACTCTATTACGAAATTTAAAATTTCTAAAATTGAAAAAGCCTCTTTATAATTTAAAACTTATTTTATATTTTATATTTTAATACTTTAACTATAGTGCGGGACAGCTTAAGATATCTACTTTTTATTTTATTATTAAAAAGATGCCAAATTTGGATAAAAACATTATAAAACATCAACTTTTTACTAACATGTGCCAAATTTTGGATAATATAACACAAAAATAATTAATTTTTATTGGTTTATACATGTTTATATATGTAGATCAGTACCAAATTTTTGATTTATATATAAAATAACAAAGTTTAAACTGTTATAATACTATTAAAAATAAAAATAAAAGAAAATTCTCTTTCAGAAATGTAGTTTAGATTACAAACTATCAATTTGAAAGAGGGTTTTTTGATTTAATAATTTTTTGTCAAGTTATACTATTTTTAAAACAACTAATAAAATTGGATATCTTAAGCTATCCCACACTGTATATACCTTTATATACTCTATTATTTCTCTTATATTTTATAAATTTATACATTAAATATAACTTAGTATTTTTCATTATATTTTATAATCTTATACTATTAAATACACAAATCCTATAATTTATTTTTACTTTAAATTTATTCAATTAAATACTCTATTTATTCTATATTTATTTTTTTTGCTTTGTTTAAAGAAGTTTATAAATTTAGATAAGTTTTTAACCACTCTAGTAGGTTTAGGTTGCAGATAAAGTAGTCTAAGCTTTTATTCTTGCATATAGTTTTTACTTTTATATTTTATATATTAAGATTAGCAACTCTTTGTAGTTACTATAATAAAAACTGTTAATAAAGATATAAGCAAGGCCTCATCTTAATACCAAAAAAAAACTTATTTAAACAAATGATAAAGTAAAACCCATATTGGAGATAATTATATTATTAATATATATCACTACCTAAATGATATATACTCTTAATTAAAAATAGATTTGTATTAAAAAAGTAATCTAAAAACTCAAGTTTTATCATTTTCATATTCATACTAATCTACAAAATCAACATGAGTTTTACTTTATTTTATTATAATAATAATAAGTTTTATAACATTAAAATATAACAAAAACCTTATTTTTGTGCAACTAATTTAGATCTAAAAATCACAAAAATTGACTATATATATATATACAGTAGGTAGCAAAAGTAATGTCTAAATTTTCATCAAAATAATAAATTTTTATTTATTAAATTTCTGCTTTATATATATTAAAATTTTTTTATATTTATTTAATATTTGTATAAATAGTCTCTATATTGGCTATTGCTTTGATTCTTTACTATATTAACTCTATAATAGCTTAAAGAACTAATATATCCAAGTTTGATCATATTTCTTTAATAGCTATTTTAAGTTCATTTATATTTCTTAAAAAGTTCTCCTGATTTTGAATATTATCTTTTACAAACTTCTAAATATTTTCTATCAGATTAAAGTTAGAGAATTATATTGACTAATTTATATAATTAATTTTTTGTAAATCAAGCTATTTTGTTACCTTATATATAGAGTATTGTCATGTTAAAATATTAAATTTTACCTGACTAATAAACATATAGTAGCAATAACTAGCATAAGATTGTTCTTAAGAATCTTGATATAAATTTTTTTGTTAATTTTTTATTTAGAACCTTTATTTTTTTTTGTTTCAACAATTTTTCCTTTATTATTTATATCAGCATAAAATTACTCTGTAGAGACTAATCTACTTGTAAAAATACATATATCTGTACTAATAAAGAATTATTTGATTCATTTAACAAGAACCTATAATAGATTCTGCAAAGAAAACCCAGATGCGACCCACCTAAGTGGTTTATCTTTACCTCATCTAGAATTCCCAACTTACTAAGAATTTAAACTCCAAAAGTCTACAGTAGGTACCTACCGACCTTGTCAGGATAACTGCCCTATATAATATATCACTAATCTGAAAAAAAATTCTTAACAAAAAAATTCAGAAAGCAAAATAGGGTAAGAGGAATATGAGAAAGAGAATATTTTTAAAAAAAGAATATATAAGAAAGCGAGTACTACTAAAAAAGAGGAAGAAAAAACAATACAATACAAGACTTTAGAAACTAACTAACAAATTGGTACTTGCTAATCAAGATACTTATCTACAAGATTGTAGTAATTATATAGAATTTAGCTGATATAAAAAAACTAAGTGCACTTTAATCTGTGCTAAGGACTAAAAATTATATATACATAACTTTGTTATTAGACTGCATATCTCACATTTTCGTTATTGTTCCAACTTTTAAATTCATATTCTATTCCAAAGTATAACAAATGTATCGATTCTATATGTTCTTCTAGTCTTATCTTGTTTAATTAATATATAAGTTCTTAAAAATCTTCTGAGTTCTCAACATACCAGAGCCACATTTCCAATAAGGAATAAATGCTTTTCTATATAGCTATATATTTGTTGTGTTTATGTCACAGAGTTGCTGAATATAGAAGTGATAAACAATATTGATCTTTTGATGAAGAGTAGCCAAATCTCTCACTTTTTATCAAAAATTGGTTTTGGGAGCTCAAAGCAGCAAAAAAAGTTTTGGTTTTGTGAGTTTTCAACTAAAGAGAGTTTTTTCAAGAGTTCGTTGTATCCTTCTGTTTTCAAACTTCTTGAGTTTTCTTTTCAACTTACTGCTCCCAGAGATTCCTCCAGTTTGAATGCTGAATGCAAAGGGGAGTTTATCTAAGAAGATCTAGAAAAAGGCTTGACTTCTTTGCAAACTGTTCAAAATACCTGCTTTTCAATATATTACCATCAGCAAATTTAAAAGGGCATAATATTTTGAAATAATTTATGAAACGTAAAAAACCATAATATTATGTAAGAAATTTTGAAAAATTGCGAAATATCAAAATTACGAAATATTACGTAAGATATTTCAAAATATTTTGAAATTTTTTATATAATATTACGGCTTTTTTACTGCGCAATTAATTAAAAGCCAAGATCTTTGCATCTGGTAGATCTGGTTTTTTTTTAAATTGCTTCGTATTTTTTTTTATTTTTTTTTTATTTTCTCTTTTGTATTTTTTTTTATTTTCGATTTTTTTTTTATTTTTCAAATTTTTCTCTCTTTTTGAATTTTATTTTGAATTTTTTTTTAATTTCTTTTTCCTAATTTGTTTTTTTCTTTTTTTAAATTTTTTTTAATTTTCTTTTTATTTAATACTGTAATACTGTATTTATTTATTTATTTATTTATTCTATTTATTTCATTTTTTTTCTTTATTAGTTTTTTTTTCTTTTGTACCAATACTAACCTATTTTTTTCTTTTTCTTTTGTTCTTTTCGCTATTACTTTTTTTATTTATTTATTCTTTTAAACTAATACTAACTGCTCTTTTTTTGTAAGTATGGCTTTGTTGAAATACCTGGTAGTAAATCGGAAGCATCTTTTTGTAAATATTTCTCTTTTATTCTTTTCACTATTTGTTTTTCTTTATTCTTTTCTTGAACTAATACTAACTACTCTTTTCTTTATGAATATGGCTTTGCTGAAATACTGGGTAGTTTCACCAGACAGCAAGTTAATGGAGAACAGAATCAGGATCACTAGGCTTGAGTACATAAAATGGCACCAAGAATGTAATTCAAAATAGTAATTCGGAATGTGAATTGACATAAAAAGGCAAGTGTCAGTTCTAGTTGCTTTAACTTTTTTTTTCATGTTATTTTTCATTTTACTAACATTTTCTCTCTTGTAGGTTCGTATTTCACTTGGCTTGGGTATAGAAAATGGCACCAGGAATGTGATTTGGAATGGTGATTCAGAATATAAACTACTACCATTTTCTCTCTTGTAGAAATAGCACTGGAAATGTGATTCAGAACATGAACTGACATAAAAAGGCAAGTGTCAGTTCTAGTTGCTTTGGCTTTTTTTTTCTTGTATTATTTTTCATTCTACTAATATTTTCTCTTTTGTAAGTTCGTATTTGCTTGTATTAGGTACAAAAAATAGCACTGAGAATGTAATTCAGAATGATAATTCAGAACATGAACTACTACCATTTTCTCTCTTGTAGAAATGGTACCAGGAATGTGATTCAAA